CATCCACCCACCCACTCACCCACACACACACATATATATATATACGCTTACACAGTCAGATACACACAGACACACACACACACATATATATACACACGTATATATATATGTATTTATATATAAATAGTAATGTATACATATGTAAATTATTCTGTAGATGTACATACGGATGTATGTATGCGTGCGTAAACAAGTATACACACATAAGTCTATATATATATATATATATATATGTGTGTGTGCGTTCGTGTATATATATAAATGCATATACATATATATATACATATAAATATATACATACATATATATACATATGTATATAAATATATATATGTATATATGTATATTTGTACATACACACACACACACACATATATATATATATTAAATACCTGAATTCATCACCGGACAAGCCTACAGAAATCATTGTAAAGTGTTTATGGAAGTATTAAAATAAAAATAAAAATAAATATATATATACATAATTCATTACAAAAGAAGCCTACAGAAATCATTGCAAAGTGTTCCTCGAAGTATAAATATATAAAATAGAAATAAAATTAAATATAAATATAAATTATAGTACATATTTATATATATAATTTAATTATAATTAAAATTATATATATATATATATGTTTATATATATATATATATGTATATATATAATATATATGTATAATATATATATATATACGTAAATAACAAAATACACAGACATAGACACAGATACAGATATATTTATATATATAAAAGAGAGAGAGAGAGAGATATATATATATATACACACATACACACACACACACACATATATATATATATATACACACACACACACACATATATATAATAATAATAGAGTAGTATATATATATATATATATATATATATTGACGTATAACTATATATATACATGAAAACATCACCGAAAAACCTACAGAAGTCATTGTAAAATGATTATCGACTTGGAATTCCTACGAAAAAGCATCAATATATAAGGATAATAGTAGAATGGAAAACATTCACAAATATACATTGCAGCGATAGACTAGTTATAACTATATAGGTTTGTACAAAATCTACAAGAGATATTGTAATGAGATGCAAACAGGGTTGTTTCGCAGTGTACGTGAGTAGAATCGGTCGCTCAGTCACGATGAGAATGTGTGACTAAGGAATAGGATTTAGTATTTAAAGATTCTAGGTGGCTTGTGTTTTTAGCCAACGCATTTCGCAAAACGTATCGTTAGAAGATCTCGAATGTTTATGTACCTACTTACGGCTCACACATATAATGTATTCAACCATGGACCAAAAACACCACTGGTGACTGCCAGTATTTGCAGAACTTTACAAGCGATATACATAGATAAAGTTCATAGCATCTGGGCATTAACACACACACACACACACACAAACACACTTATATGGATCCTAATACGCATATACACGAAATTATTACATATATATCCGTAATATGTAACTCTTCGAAAATAAGTACAAATGCGTGTTATTTCGACTTGTGAAGGAAATAAGCAGTACAGATTGATTCGAAATATGATCTCAATATAAACAGGCGTTTTTCCAAGAACAACTAAGCCTTCATAGATGAAGAAACGTGTGCATACTTAGTTGAGCCTGAAAAATCATGGCATTGTGTAGTATCATATAAAGGCATTACCTTAAGACACATTCATCAATGCGCGGATGTACGTTTATTAAATGAAAGTACGACACCCACGTAAAACTATACAAACACATATTCAACCGACATTTACCTTTGTAGAACCCCCTCATTCCCTCTGAGCGCCATATCCTCGTAACCGCATTTCCAAAGCCTGTATATGAATCGGGCGCTCCAGGTTGTTGATAACACATACGCGCTTTGATCACCCATACCGGATTCGTTGCTATTTGAGTTCCAACCCCTAGGATGTGAATAGTATCATGTTGGGAGAAGGTGAATTATATATGCGACCAATAGGCGCACGTAAACTTTTACATGAAATGTGCACATATCCATACACAGACAGACACAAAAAGACATACACATAAGATTTTTTTTTCAATATCCAAATCGAAAATCGTGCCAGGGCATTTGTGGCAAGAGCGTACGAACCCCTAAAAACAATACGAGACTGATACGAATATGATGTAATATGCGTGATTATGATCATCCCCATCAATCGAGGAATATAGATTTGATCGTCCGATGGTTTCGCTCGTTCATTGGTATAAACAAGTCTGTACAAATTAATGTAATCACAAACGTATGTATTACCCTGGTAGGTGTGTGGGAAAGATTAGGCCATATACATGGTAAATCGCTCACACTTAAAATTTGAGTGCCTCTCGTTAGAGTGGGTGATCCCTTTTTTTTCGTATCTGATATACTACCAATTGTGCTGAACATATGAACACACGTAAGACAGGGCGACACGTGAGATTCACCAAAGATTCAGTTTAACCAGTACCATCTGATGCATGTGCATATACACATTTCCAATACAATAGAACACGCATGCTTACCTGTTAAGGATGGAAATAGTACCTTTAAAAGCGACCTGCATGTTCACACAAGATATATGTATACATCACGTACATATAAACAACTTAAAATACACATGCACAGGAATGCGCTGTAACATACCCGCGGTCGAAGCTGCCATCATATGGTATAGAGGGTGCAGCTGCTCTTGCCCAGTCACCTCCTGCAGTTTTGTTTTAACAGCATTATATCCCATAAAGTACGAACCCCATGCCATCGCATTCCCCAGGATATTGGGGGCAAGCCCTGGCGAGGAAAATCATATAGTACGCAAGGAGCAAATGATGAGTGATCTAGATGGCATAATATGTGGATGATATACACACGCGAGCAAATAAAAGAACGTGTGTGCTATAACGATATCGCATTCCGGAAGTATGAAGCTCGCGCCAAACCAATCTTCGAATTAATAAGGGATGAATAGAATGTAGATGTAACTTGGGGGCTGGTTCTAGAGAAGAGCCATGTGCGTAACATAGGTATGCTGTGAAAACAATAAAATTTTGTGTTCGCGGGATAATATGCATATGTGTGCGGGAACACATGCGAGAAAATAGTACTTGATATATACAACGCAAGGATGCATACAAGAATATATATGCAAGTAATCGTACGTGTTTTAATTGAATATTTTTTTGCTAAAGTTGACCGCCTGTCATCGCACGTTTCAGTATATTCGATGAAGTGCACTGCAGCGACGCATAGTGGGTACACACGGACTGTGATTGGATGTGGAAGTAGGAATCAGAGTATGGAAAGTGCACGCAAAAGTGCACAGGAACATTCAGACATAACCACAGCCCAACGCTGGTACAGCCACGATGAAGGGCATATACATGTTTGTATCTATCAGGTAGTGGTGAAGTAAGGAAAAGTATGTCCCTTAGCGGCCAAATAGCGATATCTTTATACTCGCAATAGTGATAATTAAATGCTACCTACATGAAGGATCTTGCAGACTTCTCTATGGATTTTCAACGATCATAACATAGACAGGGAAGCATACCTTGATACAACCCTAGAATACCCTCTACTTGAACGATCTTATACGCCGCGTGGAATGTGTTCCGATATCGTCCTCGCTCGGCAATCGCCAAAGGTGAATCTTGAACTAAACAAGACGTTGGAAGGTAAAAGCAGGTAGCGATTAATGCTAGGTAATGCAAGACAGACACATGATTAAAAAAAAAATACACGAACACAAACACACACGCTTGTCAATACGCTCCAATGTATATTAATGAAGATAGATGCATATATGTACATGTACACACACACACACACACACACATATATATATATATATATATATATGCCCCTACGTACATATATTCTCTATGCATATCAACAACGCAAATGTGAGCATGTATATATGCTTTGATATATATATTATATGCATATACGAACATAAACACTTAGCTATCAAATAAATTTAGTCTAGCACGCGAAACAAACACATACACATATACACATAATATATATATATATATACATGTACATACATATATAGACATAAATATATAAATATATAAATATATATATATATATATATATATATATACTTATATATATATATATATATATATATATAGTACTATATATATATAC